TTTTAAAACATATCTATCAAAAGGCAAACAAAAAAGCAACTAGCCAGTTGAGTCCCTGTTAGCACTTTGACCTTACCATTGATCTCAGTCTCTATGATTTGAACAAGGATCTTTAGTGATTTTTAAGAAACACCATTAGGCTACAGAGACTTTTTCTTATGTTCATCTCCCTGTGTCACTGAGCTGATCACCTTTTGCCATCAAGTACTATATCAATGTCAAAATTATTAATGTTGTGGTTTAAGGCATATTAACGTCTGGCTACTGAAGTGCATGTGTTTAAACTGTTTTCAGCTCAACTGGTTGACCCTTCTAATGGAATATAATATATTCCACAATGTAATATATTCCAGTATAATTTGGCCACAATATTAGATTTCCTAAAAGAGAGATTTTGAAAAGACACTGGCAGAAAATACTAATTTGTTCTACATTTTCCCTTAAGACTGAAATCTATATTGTATTTGGTTTTATTTAAGACACACACAAAAAAAGGCACTTGTTTGAAAAGTAAGGCCTTGAAGACTGCTAAAGCATTTGTTTTACTGGCACTTTGATTTTCTCCTGACTTTGATTTGCGTTTGTATACAGAGATGAATTACTACCAGATCTGCAGAATTTGAGAACAGCTTGCAAAACTTTTTATGGGGTTTTAGTCCTTGATCCTGCAAACACTTTTATAGAAGGGAACAACTTCATCCTCACAGAACAACTGAACTCTGCTCCCACTAAAGCTGTGGATAAATCTGCCACTGATTTAAACAGAGCATTCAGACAGCTCAGCACCGCTCGCTTTGACAAATAAGCGTTAGCAGGACCAGGATCTATGAAATCAGAAGTGCAAGGAAGCTAAGAGTAAACTATTCACCTACTGCCAGTCGTGAATGGATTAGCTGGATCAGACCTGGCTGGCTGTGTTTAGAACCACTGAGATACTTTACTGCTCGTTATTAATTAAAACCACTTCAGTGGGTCAGTACTGCTGAAGTATCTTGCAGAACAAAGCCCCACAGTTTATATGCTGTACTCTGAATGGCTGGGAGCAGGTTATTAAAATTAAGAGTGAGGAAACTGAGGATGAACTTCTGATGGGATATACGAGTGCTAAACCCACAAGTGATTTTTAAAGATTTGGCAGGAAAATGGACTTGCATACCTTCATGACTAGTTCAGCTTTTATTATCTCTAATTTTTATGTATACATATGTAACTTTTCAGTAATGAAAAAGGGAGGAACAGCTTAATATGGTGACATATCTCTCTAGTCTCATCTTGTAAAGTTAAAATACTTCTGAATTATTTGATCAAGATCTGTTTCTTAGCTGGGCAATATTTGAGGGAAACTCACACGTTTTTACTGGGACTATGTGGAACAGGTCTTGCCACTCAGCAAACTTGCAAAGTTTTTCAGATTTTCAGAGACTCTAAATCAGCATAATTATACAGAGTTTAATTAATGGAATCAATGACTTCATTATTTAATTTGTTAGCTGAAGATCTGTCTCATCAGTTCATGGCACATAGTTAAACACACTGCTAAAGGTATTGGTAAGATTTGCAACCTGTGAAGTAACTAATGAGCAGTGTTATTGCAAATACCCGTTTTGAAATGTTTTTTCACTTTATATAAAGACTGTGCCATGCACACATTAAATTTCCAGTAAATGAAATAGTTACTAAAGGCTACATACCTCTAATTCCAACTCATCTCGGTCCATTTCTTGATGAATTCCTCCCATGTAGTCATTTGGGTCATAGTATTCGTGCACTGATGGATGGCTGGAAAAAAAAGGGGTGTTTTAGGACAGCACTCAGTACTCCAGTTAGAGTATTAATCCATTCTGAGCTTACAGCAAGTCATTGTGAGCATGATGGATTAACAAACAAGAAGTTACATGTGGTTAATTATATGCTATACTATTTATTTATTAAACAAAAATTGCCTGTGTTATAAGAGGAGTCTAAAACATTGATGATGAATGAGAGACTTGTAAAGTCTTAGCATTTATTCCAATTTATTTACATTTTTCTCCAAATGTAAAGCTGACTTGGGGGAAAAAATACAGAGAGAAGAGCGGAGAAGCAGGGTACGGGGTACCAGGTGAAAGGGAAGTGGGCAGATATTTGCCAGGGTTCAAGATGAGCACGAATACTAGATTATTTACTTATCAGCTTAGGTTATTTGCAGACATGCAAGTAAAATAATCCTTGCCTACTTGTTTGGTGTTTTTTACTTTGCCTAAAAGACACAGAATTGTACAAAATTGCTAAGTATTATAATTTGCCAGACAACTATTTGGATCAGCGGCATTCTGTTGATTGATTTGAATGCAACAGGCTGTGCAGAATGATTTAAATGCTATTTAAATATGCAGCACTCTTCATATTGCTATTCACTATTGGCATGCTGCTTTTTACAACTTGAGCTCTCTGACAGTTTCACTGCCTACACTTTGGAAGTTGTAAGCACCGTCCTGCTCCTGTGAGCGCTTTTTTCTATGCTGGAATTTTATTTCTGCAATGAAAGTAAACTCCCTTTAATTCTCTGTTAACTAGATATTGTGTTTCTTTGTAAGTGTGAGGCTATTTACGTAACAGCATCTGCTAATTGGCTAAGATACCCAAGTTGTTATATGCAGGCTAGATTAATTCGAATGGGATTTGGAGAAGTTATATTGGAAAAAAAATTGGGAAAAAAATGGAAAAAAAATTGGAAAAAAAATGTAAAGTTAAAACATAAGCAGCGCTAGGAAAAAATGAGTCCACTTGCTTGCACACGCTGGATGACAGCACACTTGCAAAGCTCACTGACTGCACCTGTATGTAGGGACAGCCTTGGTTCAGACCAACATCTACAGCTCCAAGTAAGGTCACTGAGGATGCCAGCACTTGGAATCTGTCTGGCAATTAAAGGGCAACATGAAGTTACTTGATAGGACCGAGCTGGTATTATGCAGGTGTGTTGCAACCTGCATGACTCATCATGAATTCATCTTTGCCGTTTTCCTAATGTAATTGGTTTTGCAGTTGGAAAGCTGCAGGTATTGAAAGCTCCTCTTGCAAATGTGTTTGGGGATGTGCAGTGTAGGTGCTCTAAGTGTGTCCTCTCCACAGTGCTCCAAGCCCTGCTGCTTGTTGGCTGCAAACAAGCTCAAAGCTACAGCCTTTTGTCAAATGTTTCCACTAGAACATGCAGCTGTGCTTGAATTTTCAAGCTCTGTTGTGTGTTGCTGTGCCTGGGAATAGGTGATGATGCAGTAATATCTGATGGAACCTTCTCTCAAGTAATCAGCACGGAGAGTCCTGGAAGGAGCAGACACTGCACACAGAAACCCAGTTCCATGTTAACGTGCTGTGAAAGTCACTTAGGTCAGTGCTTGTTTGTAGTCAGACCTGTTTCCTCAGAGCGCTGACAGGGATGTCGGGAGAGGTGTGCTGGGGTGTTTGTGTGCCGACTGATGGCCACAGCTCAGACTCCCTCTGGGACTCCCCTTCCAGAGCTGCACTGCGCAGCCAGGACACGTGCATGGTGGCACTGCCTCAGCAGGTACAGGATGATCACAAAACAAGTCTTGCCATGGACTGATGTCCTGGTTTGAGCTGAGACAGAACTGGTTTCTTTTCAGCAGCCAGAACAGCGCTGGGGTTTGGGTTCAGCTGGGATTTGTTAGGAGAGAAACGCTGAGAACATCCCCATGTTGCATTTGTGTCCCTGGCACTGAAGGACTTTGTGTTTGTCCGTCTGCAAGCGCAAGATCTCAGGGGTGAGGAATATTGCAATGGATCAGCTCCATGGGCATTGGGCTCTGCCAAGGGGCTGTTCCATCTCCTGTCCCCCATGGGCAGGAGATCCACGAGGGGCTCTTCCTCTCTTGCTCTCTCTGGCTTTCGCTCGGGCTCTGGCTCTCCCGGGATTGCTGTTTCGGTTCGGGATTGTCGCTCCTGCGGGATTGTGATCTGGGAACGGGCTGGGCTGGGTTGGTGGGTGGTGAGCAATGGCACTGGGTGTCACTCATTTGCATATCTTATTGCTATTATTATTATTATCATTACTATTTTAGTATCAGTATTATTTTAAGTTTTATTTCAATGATTAAATGGTTCTTCTCTCACCCTACAAGTCTCCTTACCCTTGCCCCCCAGTTCTCTCCCCTATCCCCTGCGTGGGAGGGGTGAGTGAGCGGCTGTGCTGGCTGTTAGCCCAGTGCTGGCCAAGTGCAACCATCACAACTGACCAGATCATGGTCTGTCATACACAGCAACTGAGACATTCAGAATCTTCTCTATGACTTTTTCCCTCGTGGAGATGCATGGCAAGATGACAGGCAATTTGCATGGGCTCCTTGGGGAGCCATTTGCCTCTTGAACAGCGTGTGAGGGCGTGGGGTGTGTGTGCCAGGAGATAATTGTCATTTTTATTTGTAAGTACAAAAGCATCAAACTACCATTAACAATAATTAAAATTTGATTCTCAAACATCCATGACAGTACTGGTAAGTAATTTTAGTCCTAGAAAATAATTTATTTGAGTAACATTGCTGCAGGGTTATAATAAAGTAATTAATACACTGGAACAGAATGTAGCAGCTCTTCGCATTATACAATTTATGGCAGCCATAAAAAATAAAGTTAAAACATAAGCAACTCAAAGAGGCAGTGAGAGGAATTACAAGAAGCAATAACTTTATCCATCAAATACCAGCAAAAAATTAGCATTACGAGGCCACGTTGTGACTCGGTGGTATTACTCATGTGAGTAATGGCTTGCTAGTCTGTAGGAAAAATGAACAAGTTCTGAGTTATGGCTTAGTGGTGTATGAATCTTGGCTACCTCTGGGAGTACACGTTCACCAGCGAGTAAAGGTGAGTTCGTGAACTCCTGCTAACGTGCCAGATCAAGGAATTCAAGGATTTTCAAGGGTTTCACAAACTGTTACTTACTCTTCAGGTAGGAGGTACGGGTCTAGCACAGAGACAGGTGGAGTAGGTGAGCCCATCTTGCTTAGAGCCATGATGTGTTCAAAAGTGATATCCGTCTGCGTGCCCACATCTACCAGCTGAGACTCGTGGGGAGGAGAGCAGCCCTTGGTGCGTGGAGTTCTCCTCAGGACCTGCACCACAATGGGCTCCTTGGCTGTTTTGAACGCTTCCACTGCCTGCTCGTGTGTTGCTCTGGATAAATCCTTCCCATTGACCTGTGGGAAGAAAGCAAGCAAAGCCATGAGAGAAACAGTCAGAAAGTGGAGAGCATCTCTTGGTTTTGGCTGTTAATTCAGGAGTCTCAGTTTCCACCTGGAAGTAT